GAAGAGAACAGTTCCATATGAGTGCTTCTGGCACTTAAGAATTCTGGTAAAATGAACTCTTTGACTGAGGGACCATGATGGGCGCAGTGAAGAGCATATTGTCTTTGTGGAGTGTAGACAGCCGTCCAATGGACCCTGCTCAGGGATGGTAGAGTTGGCTTTTTTTTTTTATTTTATAGATTTATTATTCTCTCACCTATTACATCCTGACTGCAGTTCCCCCCTCCTCCTCACCCCTAAGCCCTGCCCCCTCCACTCCTCCTCCTCTTCTCTTCAGAAAAGGGCGAGCCTCCCAGGGATAGCAACCAAACATGGCATAGCAAGTTGCAGTAAGACTAGGCACCTCTCCTCACACTAAGGCCGGGCAAGGCAACCCAGTATGAGGCACAGGGTCCTGAAAGCAAGCAAGAGTCAGAGACAGCCCTACTCCCACTCTCAGGAGTCCCACAAGAAGATCAAGCTACACAACTGTAACATAGATGCAGAGTGGAGGGACTGTAGCCATCCCAGCCCTGGCGAACATGGCTCTGGCAGGCCTTGCTCTTCTCCCCTTCCCTCTGCCTTGCTAAAAACCATTTGATTATATTCCTAAAGCTAACCAGCAAGCTCTGTTCTCTTATTTGACCATTTCCTCCTCCTGAGGCTTACTACCAAGGTCCAGTTATCAAAGTATTGAAGTCCGGCAATCAAGAGCCCCCTTTGGCTCACCTAGTTATTATGCCCAATTAAAATTAAACACCTCATCCTAACACAGGGTTCCCCCCTTTTACCTTTATAACCCACCATTTGTCTGTGGGCCCTGTCTGTTTCCTCTCTATCCAGAGGCAGTCCTTCCCATCTCTCTTGTCCCCTTTCCCTTCTCCCTCATCCTCTGTCTCCTGTGTTTGTCTCTTATGCCCTTCCCTTTGTCCCTCTGGGGCAAATAAATCTCCTTTGTGCTGAGAATTTGGTCTTTGGGTCCTGAGCCCATACCAATGTCTTACACAGAGGGCCATGGAGACTCTCTGGTTGTCAGTTCAGTGTCTGCGTGTCCCAAAGAGCCCCTGTTATTTGGTTCTGTGGGTTCGCTTGTGGTGTCCTTGACCCTTCTGACTCCTACAATCCTTCCCCTTCTTCAGCAGGGTTCCCCAAGCTCAGCCTAATGTTTGGATGTTTGGGTGTAGGTCTCTGAATCTGTTTCCATCAGTTGTTGGATGAAATCTATCTGATGACAACTGGGCAAATGATTTTATTTATATATATATATATATCCCTGAATTAGTTACATTTCTCATTGCTATTACAAAGTATCTGACCAAAAGCAACTTAAGGTAGGAAGAAATTATTTGGGCTTTTCATTAGGGGTACAGTCCATCATAAAACGGAAGTCATGGCAGCGGGAGTGACTCATGGCTCTGTCAGCAGAAGCATCAGGCTGCTCGCTCATATCTCAGTGGACCAGAAAGCAAAGCGGAAGAGACCAGGGTTGGAAGTGGGGCCTCACTGTAACCTTAGGACAACCCACTCCCAGTGACCCACTTCCTCCAGCAAAGACTGACCTGTTAAAAGTCCCGTAATTTCTAAAACCAGCCTCACTGTCAGGGACCCAGTGCTCAAAGACAAAAATAAGTCTTTAAGGGGCGTTTCACATCCAAACCATAACTTTCCGTAGACTCACGGCCATCTCATAATGCAAAATGGCTTCAGTCCAGCATAAAAGATCTTGACATCATGCAGTAGCAACACTTTTTTGAGTGTTCAGAATCTCTCCTGAGACCTGAGGCCATGTCTTAAATTAACTCCTGTTTATTTCCAACATCCTACGATACAGAGTTAATGAACTTTCCCATTTCAAAGGGCAGAATTTGGGCTTAGAAGGGAAGAGCTGACCAAAGCAAGACTGGAACTCAGCGGGGGTGAGGAGGTGGGGGGTGGGGGGGGGACACTAAATCCCACAGCCCCACAGCCAGCATCTCCTACTCATGGTGGATTCATCTGGCCTCCAACAGGCCTGGGCAGCCCCACCCTTACAATGCTAATGCCTGAAGCACTCTTGGCCTCTCTTAGGCTGCCTCCACTGGTATCTGTAGCTGTCCTTGGAGGACATACCACAGTTCTGGCGTCTTCAGTGTTCCGGGTCTTCACTGCAACTTGGGCTTCCCCCACACAGCTTCATGCACAGCCCTCTCAGGGGATGGTGCAGGGAACCCAACCCTGCTACATGTGCCTGGCTTCCGTGGCTTTCTGGAACCTCGGTCTAAGCCTGCACGACCCTGTCACCCTTTCATTTTGTATTTCCTCAAAACCAGAACGTTGTGGGTGGTGCCAAGTTCTGCTTCCAGCTTGAGATAGAGTCGGCCCCCATCTGCCCACAGGTGCAACAACTTCCAAGTACCCAGGAGGGTGAAGCTGGGAAAGCATTACCTTGGTCAGCCCTTGTTAGAGCACTGAGTGTTCCACTTCGTTCAGACACTTTTCTCTCTTTTTGGCACTGTGTGTGTGTGTGTGTGCGTGCGTGCATGTGTGTGGTTTTTCAAGACAGGGTTTCTCTACAGAGTGAGCCTGGACTCGCTCTGTAGATCAGGCTGGCCCAAATCAGAGATCCACGAACCTCTGCCTCCCGGAATGCTGGCAATACAGGCTTGTGCCACTGTCACTGGCTGGCGTTCTCAATTTAAATGAAGGTTTTCCAATTACATTTGCACTGTTACACACTGGACCTTTCAGTGAGGGAAGCCTGGTGGGGCTGTGGCCCTCAAGGTATCATTCCACTAGTTCCAGTGCACGGGGTAGAATCTTCGTTCCTCCTTCCTCCTCCTCCATGTCTTTTTTTTTTTTTTTTTTTAATGTGTGTGACCAGAGTGTGCTGTGTGGGCGTACCTGCACACACATGCACAGAGCAGAGGACAGCCCTGGGAGTTGTCCCTTAGGGACAGTCCACCATGTTCTGTATTGTTTTGCTTTATTTTGAAACGAGGTCTCTCTGGAGCCCATCAAGTAGACCGGCCCAGCAGGCCAGTTAGCTCCAGGGATCCACCTGTCTCTGCCTCCTCAGTGTTCGGATTGACAAGGGTGCGCCGTCAGGTCTGGCTTCGATTGTTTTAATGTGGATTCTGAGGATGGAAATCGGGTCTTTTGCTTGCAAGCCACTCTAGTGCTGGGCCACCAGGCCCCTTCGGGTTTCTTCTTGATTGCACCATTCTCTTAAACATTAGCTGCTTTTTCAGCACCTGCCCTACCTGTAGTTTTAATTGAGTTCACAAGCTTTTCCTTATTAAGCCGTACATTGTTCACAACTTTTGTTTCTGCTTTTTGCTTCGAATTCTCTCTGTAAACTTGACTTAAAGACAGGAACAGTAGCTGTGCCATAGCCAAAGTGCAGCACCATTTTTCCCACCAGCTCTGGAGAGATGGCTCAGGGGTTAAGAGCACTGTCAGCTCTTCCAGAGGTCCTGAGTTCAATTCCCGGCAACCACATGGTAACTCACAACCATCTATACTGAGATCTGATGTCCTCTTCTGGCGTGAGAGGTGTACATGCAGATAGAGCAAGCACTCGTGGGTAAAATAAATAAATAAATGAATAAATTTCTCCCACCACCAAGTTAGCCCTTTACTAAAAAAAAAAAAAAAAAAAAAAAAACTTTGTATTGATTCTTTGTGAATTTCACATCATGCACCCCAGTCCCACTCATCTCCCCATCTCCTCATATTTGCCCATAGCCCTTGCAGCCTCCGCCCAAAATAAAACACAAACAAACAAACAAACAAAAAGCATCTCGTCACAAAAGCTGTGGTGTGTTGGTGTCCCACAGTGTACCACTCCATGCACACATCTTTAGTTGCAAATGTTCATTACAATGAGTCATTGGTCTGATTCAAGGCCTCTGGCTTCTAAGACATCATCAATACTAGGTCCTCATCAGGACTCCTCCCAGTTATCCTGTAGTTGTCCTGTGTCATGGAGACCCTGCAGCTTTGAAACAGCGAGACTGGCCCTTTCACACATGTCCCAACCATTTGCAGATGATGCGGATTCTGGGATGGGCCAGTCTAGAGCCCTGGATCTCAGCCTGGATGATAGCTGAGCTGGTCAGCCTGCTGACTCTCTCATGCATACTACCGGGGCAAGCTCTCTGGCAGCTCCGGCTAGGACACCCTGGGCTGCCGTTGGCAGGAGGCAGGGTCATCTCGCATGCCCTCTGGCTGGCTCACCAGTACACACGCCTCGAGAGCCAGCTTTACTATGCTTCCCAGTCAAGATTCAGGGCCCACTCTCCCAAATGCTGCAGACTGTGAGGGCCTGGGACAGCTCTCTCATTTTCACAACTTGGAGCCGGCTCCCCTGTGCTTTTGCCATCAGGACCAGCTCCAATGTGTTACCCAGGTAAGATGCAGGGCCCTCTCTGCTACAGCCAGTGAGAGAACAGGGCTAGCTTCCCTGCTCTCATGATCCCAGGGTTAGCACTCCTTTATACTTCAGGTAGTGAGAGAGGTAGGGAGAGGGCATCACTCCTATACCCATACCACCTCACAGCAGACAAGTGGCAGAGCCAACTCCCCCATGCGGTAGCCCTCAGGGCTCACCTGTACCCCTACCACCAGGGTCAACTCTGCTGTGCTGTCCAGGCGAGGTACAGGCCCTGCTCTCCCGAGTGCTGCAGCTGGTGAGGGGCAGGGCTAGCTCTCCTGAGCACATGACCCTGTGGGTAGCTTTTCTGATTGCTCAGAGGTGGGAGAGGGGGGGGGGTCATCACTCTGTGCCTGTGTCACCCGACAGCAGACAAATGGCAGAGTCAGCTCTCCCACACTCACTCCAGTTACACCATTCTAGCACTTGACTAGCCCAGAGTTCCAAACTCTTCCACATTCTTCCCCCATACCACTTCCAAAAGCCTAAGGACCACTTGGTTGGTTTCCTTGAAATGGTAGCAGTGACCCCCCCTCCCACTTCTCTGTTCTAATAATCTATATTAGCTTTTTTTCTCCTTGTCACCTTGACCAAATACCTGACAAAAGGCAGCCAAGTGATGAAGAGTTTATTCTGACCCATGGTTTGAGGGACCATTGTAGCATGGCGGAGAAGGCATTAGTTACAGGAGTAACTTGTGATGTGGTGGCAGGAGTGGGAGGCGTCATGTGTTCATCTCAGCAGACTGTAAGTCAGAGAGAAGGAGAGGGAGTGAAGAAGGGAGGGAGGGAGGGGTGCAAGAGAGGGAGAAGGGGGAAGGACTGAAGCTAGAACCAAGACTAGGGTAACCCATAAGGCCCACTCCCAGTGACCCTCTTCTAGCAAAACCCCAGCCCTTAAAGTTCCTCAAACCGTGCTGAGGACATGTCACCCCCAAGCCATGGCAATATCATCTTCAGTATGGCTGAAGTATCATCATTTTTCAGGGCGTAACTCTTTTTCTTCTCTTAACTCTTTGTATTCTATTTAACAAATATGAATGCATATTTATCAAGTGCCCCGTTAGCTTCAGTATCTTCAAAGTAATATGGACATTTAAAAATTCATCTTAATATTGTCCGAGACTCAGATATATTGCCCAAAAGGCTTAGCTCTTCATTTTGTTACCAGTTCTGGTGTGAATCTGAGAACACAAGAAAGTGAAGCGGCACTTGGGCTGTAGGTCTATTCGATTCTCTAATGTAATCTAGTCCTCTGTCTCCTGGGCATTTTATCTACCCTCTCCTGTTCCCAACATTAACAAACTCTCTGATTCCAACTGGCCATGGTTGTCATCCTGGTTCTCTCAGAATCAGACAGGTTTGCTGTTGAGATAGGAGTTTGAGTCGCTATTATTTTTTTAATCCCAGTAAAAATAGATTAATTTTTTTATTGTTTTCTAATTAGGAAAAAAAATCACTGGGAAGGGAAAGAATATGATCAAGATATATTTGATGTTAAAACTGTTTTAAATGATAAGAAATAGAATAAAAAGAAATATTAACGGTTTTTAAATGCTGGGAGAAAACCCCTAAATGTATAATGGAAAATTCAATTAAGGTGATTCTCCTGAGGAAACACATGTACATGATGTTCAGAAAACAAAGTCGCAATGAACTGGCTGTTTGTGACTTTTTTTTTTTTTTTTTTTTTTTACTGTGCTACTGTGCAAGTCTGTTGTGAACAGCTCATGTCTATAAGTAACATCATCAATTCTGTTGGCAAAGGATAATTAAAAAGCTAAAAAGCTGTGCCATAATCTATGTACATTTCCCAATTGTTGGTCATTTCATTTTACCAATTTTTACTATCATAAAAAAATTTATAATGACCGTTTTGTTGTTGTTGTTGTTGTTGTTTTTCTTTTGCTTTTCGAGACAGGGTTTCTCTGAGTGTAGCTCTGGCTGTTCTGGAATCACTGTAGACCAGGCTGGCCTTGAACTCACAGAGATCTACCTTCCTCTGCCTCTCGAGTGCTGGAATTAAAGGCCTGCATAACAACTGCCCAGCCACGATTATTCTTTCATATCCGCATTTCTGTACTTGTCTAACCGTGTCCATAGGATGTATCCCTAAGTAGTCTCAGTGGATCCTCTACATGTTTCCATGTTCACATGTCAACCTGCCTGCTGGCAGCACAGCATTTGCATGACAGTCAGGAGCCTGTGAATTCTTGGTCACACACACCCTTTCTGTACTGGTACTTGTTTCTCAGCCTCTGTGACTCTTCTAAAGTGAAAGCGACGTCTTACCGGCTTCGTGTTTGCTTTGCTTTGATTGATTGCTGGAGGTAATGTGTGTCCTTTTAGAAAAATATTTATTGTCCATTTGTATTTCTCTGGTGGTGACTTGCTTGTTTGGACCTGTCTGAACACCCTCTGAGGGCTATGGTCTGCTTGGTCTGTGGCATGCAGGATCTGGCCTATAAATTACTCTTTAGTTAGATTATGAGATATGCCAACCTGTGATAAAGAAAATACTGCAAATCATCAGAAAGTAATTTGAAGATACTGTTTCATGACTAAGTATTCCGTGGAGCTAACAAATGAAGAAATTCGTAATCCCTGTTAAAGGTGTGTCAATCCTAGACGGGATGGGGCTCAGCTGGAAGTCTCCCGTGTTGTAGTTCAAGCAAGTACCAGCAGAAATGCTAAAAAAAAAAAAAAACCTCCCAGATCCACCCTGCCAGGGGAGGCTGGGCTCCTGCAGCCCACCCCACCTGCCTGAAGCTGCCTCTCCAGATGAAATGTTTACTGCCGTCTTCTTCCACCCCCCCAGAACCACAGAGGGAAGAAAGGAAAGCAGACCCCATCCAGAGGAACCAGCAGAGCTGTTGGAGGTGGGGAATTGGCTACTGAGGAAGGCAGTCGAGAGGAAAGTACAGAGGACATAAAGCGCACCTCGCTTTAATCCCTTCCGTCTGTCCAGAGCTCCCAGAGAGCTGTAAAGTCTCCCTTTTCTGGGTGATCGGATTCCTTTAGCTCGGGGCAGGCAGGGTTTTGTTGTTGAAGGAGAGGGCTCAGAGAGATGGGGCGAGGAGAAAGGCCGTCACTGGGGAATGAAATCTCTGGAGTTCAAGGTACTGAACTGTAAATACAAACAGCTGTGGAGGGAGGGGCCGGGCAGGCCCACAGGCCCAGGCAGGCACCTCCGGTCATCCTAGAGATGTGAGGCTTCACCTCTGCGTCCCCTTGGCGGGCTCAAGGGATTATTTTTGAATGCTGCTGGCAAAAATGAGTGTGTTGGGTGGTGTGTTTTCACCCTGAAAAAAGTGGTTGTTCTGTGCCAGTGTTTAGAAGCTGGGCTGTCCATTCCTTTTGTTTGAAATAAAGACTAAAGACCAGTCCTTTCAGACAGTGGAAAAAGGAAAAAGGAGGGGGAAAAAAAAATCTCCTCCAGTCTGCCTTTGGTGTGAGTCCTTTTTTGCGTGTTTGCTTTTGACTTTTTGCAGTGTTTGCAGGGCGGGGGGACCTGGGCCTACTCCATCTGGGCTGAGGTCCTGGGTCCCCAACAGCAAACACTTAAAACAATCCAAACAGTTTATTTGGCAGTTTCAAGAAGAATCTCCTGAAGTGTGTCTAGTCTCTGCTGCCTTTGAACTGCTGGCAAACGCAGACATAGCTTGTGTCCTTCTCCCCCCTCCCCCCACACTCCCCTGGTCAACAGCCCTTCCAGGCCTCCTCTTGCTGCTCAGGTCTCCTGGCTGGCCCATGCTGCTTCCCCCTTCACTCCTGCAAAGCTTTTCCCACCTCCCTGGGGAAGCTATCCTCACCATCAAATTAGGCTGTTTTAAGTGCATGGTATCTTCAGAGAAGACACATGATTTCTGTTTCTCCCTTTCATTGGCTGAAATCCCGGAAAGTAGAGCCAACCATGGCTGTCCAGCCTGTGGGGGCAGCAGCAGTCATGATGATGCCGTTGTTATTCCGTGTGTTGGGCACTATGCTCTGTTTTTGTAAGCACAGTCTGCAGCCTTCCCACCAACACCATGGTCATAGATGGCACCTCCATTTATAGATGAAACTGAAGCTTAAATGTCCAGAATTGAGCTCACATAACTAATAAATGGCTAGATCAAAGTTGACACCCAGAGCTTGCTTATCTTCATTCATTCATTCATTCATTCATTCTCTCTCTTTCTCTTCTCTCTCTCTCTTTCTCTCTCTCTCTCACACACACACACACACAGAGCCATACTCATCCTCATTTAATTGGAATAGGGGTAAGGTGGAGAAGAGAGATTGTGTGTGTTGTATCTTCTTACCTTGATCTGGTTCTTGTTCCTTCACTAATAATCAAATGTCATCCATCTGATTATTTGTCATCCACTCTATGCCTTAAAGAGAGCTCCTAAGAAGATGACTGCAAATGGTGCCTCATAGAATACATTAAAAAGAAAAGAAAAAGAAAAAAACAACAACACAGAAATGTCAGCTTTTATTTTTATTAATCCTTTTATCATTTTATTAATCCCCCAGTCATTTCCACAGCAGCCCGTTTCTGATGAGGAAGTGGAGGCACACAGAGTAGATGCAGGAGATTGGGTTCATGTTCCTGGCATACATGTTTTACGGTCACACCGTGAAAAGCGTGATGGAAGTGTAACGTATATAGTTCCCTTTCCATCATGGCCTCCAGTAGGAGTTTTCAGGGAATGTGTGTGCGTGAGGGCAGATGCCTGTGGGGTCTTGCGCTGTCCCAGGCACTGCTGAGAGTATGCAACTCAAAATGGGCAACCCCCCTTTTGCACCAAACCCACCTTCTCTCCAACTAAGTATTTCCCAGTTGCCAACTTGGTATAAAAACCTACATTACCATAGTCGAGGCTGTTGCTGAAAGAAAGGTTTTTAGTACCAAACAGTTTTTCCCACTCAGCAAACTTAGCACTTTTGTTACTCTCGACACTTCAGAACACATTTCCATGTTTCCTAGAGGCCAAAACAAACTCTACAAATGAACCAATGTTTCCAACTCTCAATACTTAGGAAACTGGGTATTGTACATAGAGCAAATGTTTGATGAAGTAACACAAATAATTCAATAGTTAGGAAAAATGTGTAAACCTGTACAATATGCATGCATATAAGAATTTCACATATAAACTGATAAACTGCACATGTGTTACTATATGTACAATTATTTTTTTTATTTGTTTGCACGTTCTGAGTTAGGGCAAGAACAGAAAGAGAAGTATCTTCAGCCATCAGGCTGCTGTACCTCCCTCAACTGTGCATAGTCTGGCTTCCCCTAGTTTTGTCCTTCAGTCTGTGGCTGATACCACCTTGTGGTTCAAGCTGTAGGACTAGAGCTACTGTCTACCCTCCCCCTGACAAAGTAAAATGTGATACTCAACTACAGTTTCTCCCATGAGAGAGCCCTGAGGATACATACATGAGCCACTGAGTCTTTGTGCCCTGGTGTGAACTGGGAATCTCAGACACTGTGAAGCCCCGCTTCACAGACACACATGGAGAAGACACAGATTGAATAATAGTTAGAACCCATAACTGAGACTTGTACCTGGGAAGGCACACATCTGCCCAGCTTGCATGCTTGCTTTTCCATATGCATTTCAAGGGAAAGCAAGGCCACAGCAGGCTGCCTTCTCTCACTGGCACCCTGTGTGGCAAAGCCAAGGTCTGCTGAATATTTATCTTATCTTTGCTTTGCCATCATCCCTCCTCTTCCATCTTCATCGGCTCTCTCTCCCTACCCCCATCTTCCTAATCCCTGGATTGCCCTTGTTTATATACCCCTAAAGCATCCCAGTCAACCCCCTCATCCTTTCCCATTGCTCACAACTGCTCTCCCTGGCCTCAGAGGAGCCTTCTCCTGACTCCGGACGCACATGAAACAGAGTGAGACACAGGCAGCCACCAGGCATTTTGTGGGGAGGACCAACTAGAGGCCAGAGTGTCCAGGGGGAGCAGCAGGACATCCAGAGAGACGCTTTGCTGCTGAAGAGGAGAGCCTAATCCCGTTACAGGCGGGGTGGAGACTCCTGGGGCCCCGCAAGCCTCCTTCCCGCTGTGCCTGGAGGGCTATCATTGGAGAACAGCAGGGCTGTGGAGGGCCCTGCTAGCCAGCAGCCCCTCCCCCACCCTCCAGCCCCCTAGATTCCCTTTTCTTTTGCAGTGACACACACTGCAGTGCCTCTGAGGTCATTTGTTTCCCACAGCCTCACAGGGCGCTCTGGCAACAAGGGGGACAATGATCTCTCACAGGAATGATGGGAGGCCTTGTTTTGCCTTAAATAAGCCCCTTCAAGGGAGCAGTAAGGTCTGTTGTGTGTGTGGTTTGTTTTTTCAGAAAATCCTCTAGCCCATAGTTCCAGTGTGAAGTACTCAGGCAACTTCAATTGAGGACATAAAGAATCCAATGTGTGTGAGAGAGGGTTTAATTTTATTTTTATTGCCGCTTTGAGACCAGAACTGTGTTTTCCCTTCTCTCAGTTACCCTTTTTGCGCTCATGCTCCCCGGACCCTAGCATTCTTTGGATAGTTTTAGGCAGGAATTGGCAGGTGCTAGGGACAAGGCATCCATCGATGCCCACATCTCCCGTCGGCCTCCAGTTGCCCTCTTCTTTGGTGAGCGAGCTCAGCAGGAATTTAGAAATGTGTTCCTTCACATTTTTCACATCATCCCGAGTCTAAAGAAAGTGAGTGAAAGGGCATATTAGGGGAGGGATCTGAGATCCAAAGCAAAGGGAATGTAGAAACTGAAGAGAGAGGAAGGCAGGCCCTGTATGCCACCTCAGAACTCACAGAGCACATCTGGGGATTCCCTAGGAAAGACGCTTGTGTAGGAAACAGAGGGATCAGGCTCAGGGCCTGATTCAGCTGTGTGCTAAGGAAAGATGTGAGAGTGTCTGCCCACACCCTGATAGCCCCACTCAGAAACAAAGAGCTGTCCATTTGTCTTACAGTGTTCTGTCCAGTGTTTCAGGCCTCCTAATGGAGCATAGTTTGACTGTGGAGTGTGCATGAATGAGCATTACTACCTGAAAAGGATCAGGAAGTACCATGCCATCTTGATAGTTCAGCTGAAAAAACTGAGGTTAGACAGATTCAGGTCGTTCCCAAGACCATGCAATGAGATAAACTAATGTCAAAACTTTAGATTACAACCAAGATGCCTTACTCTCTGGACCATTAGCTAACTAGTGTGGTCTAGAAATTCTTCATCCTTGTTTTGTTTTGTTTAGTTTTGTTTTGTTTTTTAAGCAATTAAGACAGTCTATGATCTGAGGTATTGCTGGTACACATCACTGGTGCTTCTTGCTTAACTGCATGGATAAGTTATGTCTTACAGCCATTTCTTTTTCCTTTGATTTCTATAAATCCTATTCCTGTGCATAAATGTTGTCACGTCTTCCATACCAAACTCAAAAGCTGTTGGCTTTCTTACCGGGACACTAAGAAATAGTATATTTAACTTGCTTTTTACTTTCCTGATCTTTTTCAGGATTTTTATAAAATAACACAGGAAAGCGTTCTCCAGATGTGTCTATTGATTAAGCTCTTATATACATATAACAGGTCAAAGGCTGATATCACTCTGTGATAAATTGAAAAAAAATAACAAGTTGTCCTTGAGTTTAATAACGTCTCCAAGATTAATTCTTAACTTGTGCATCATTTTAATTCCTCACAGTTTCTGAAGTGGGAGTCATGGAAGTTGTGACAAACCGATTGACATACTGTTTTCTTTCTCTCTGCACCATTGGTTCAATTTTTAATTTATTGTTTATTTTTATTTTATGTGCATTGATGTTTTGCCTACATGCATGTTTATGTGAGGGTGTCAGGTCCCCTGAAACTGAAGTTACAGATAGTTGTGAGCTGCCGTATAGGGAACTGAACCCAGATCCTCCGGAAGAGCAGCCAGTGCTCCAAACCACTGAGCCATCTCTCCAGCCACTGCACTATCAGTTTAATGCTTGTTCTAAACTGAAGTAACATTCACCTGCTTCAAGTAGTAAACACCCTGTAGTTGATATAGCTTCTGTCTCTTTCTGACAGTGATAGGACAT